AATATAATTAAATCGATTTCATTTTAAATTTTTCAGTCAAAAACTTCCGCTTGGACGAGAGATGTTAGCCGGTGGATTAGCCGGCTCTTGTCAAATCGTAATCACAACTCCGATGGAACTTTTGAAAATTCAAATGCAAGACGCGGGTCGCGTACAGGCAGCAAATAAAGCCGCTGGAAAACCCGCGATCAAGATGTCCGCCTGGGGTCTCACCAAAGATTTACTGAGGGAAAAGGGGATAGTTGGATTGTACAGGGGAACGGGAGCGACGGCACTTCGCGACGTTTCTTTCTCCATAGTTTATTTTCCTTTATTCGCTCGACTTAACTCTCTGGGTCCGAGAAAGAGTTTAGGCTCCGAGGAGGCCGCTTTTTACTGGTCTTTTATATCTGGCTGTGTTTCCGGTTCGTTTTCAGCTCTTGCAGTCAATCCTTTCGACGTCATCAAAACTCGTTTGCAATTAATTAACAAAGCCGAAGGTGAAGCAACGTACAACGGAGTCGTCGACTGTATCACGTAAGTTTAATTAAATTATTTTCCTTTTTTTGTGTCTGTTTGTTTTTGTTTTACTATCGAATTACTAACCTTATTTTTAATGTTAAAAACTAACTACCGCGCAAAAAAATATTTCACGGATTTTGTCTTTGGGGGGGGGGAAGAGGGGGGGAAATGAATTTTTAAAAAAGAAGCCATTTATCATCCCCCAATCAATTAAAAAATCTTGACAGGCTCTCTCTCTCTTACTATATCATCAAAATGATCCTTGACAAAATTTTTTGGATTCGTTATTAATTTTTTTTTTTTTTTTTTTTTTTTTTTTTTTTTTTTTTGGAATGACATTGAAATTCATCTCGTTTCAAATTTGACGGAAAATTTATTTATTTATTTATTTATTAATAATTTTTGCATGGATTTTTAGGAAAACGTTAAAGAACGAGGGAGTGACTGCATTTTTTAAGGGAGGCGCTTGCAGGATGATGGTCATAGCTCCACTCTTTGGAATCGCACAAATGGTTTATTATTTAGGAATCGCAGAAAATTTGCTCGAAATGATTAGTCGTAAAAATTAAAAGTTAAAAAATAGATGATGATGATGATGATGATAATTGTTTTCCCACACGAGAGAGAGTTGTTAATTTCTCTTCATCGATAAATAAATAATGGAATGCGATGCGCGCGTGATTGGATTTTCATCTCGCGCTCGCATATTATTATTTATTATTATTATTATTATTATTATTATTATAGTCGTTTAATTATTAATGGGCTTCACGTAAGTCCAGGGTAGTGATTAGACGTAAAGGTTTAGAAATGTATTAGGTCCATACATAAATTATTAATTATTTATCTTAGCTTGCACGGGGCGGAAATTATTTAAATATAAGATTATAAGAACACAATTAGAATTATTATATTTACCGTTC